GAGGTTGCCTGCGCTGAACGCAGCCTGTCGTTATCGGCAGTCAGCGGAGCTATTTGGTTCCTGAGGTTCTCTAGCTCTTCCTCCATTGGGACGTGCAAGTTCAGCCAAAATCTAACAAAAAAAAGGAAGGTCCACACACCCCCACTGCTGTTTTTGCTTCTGAAAAAAAGAATGTATTAATCAAAAAGGAATTACAATTGACATTCGACAAAACAGTGCAATTCAAGAGTACAACGATCTTGAAGCAGTAGTTAATCAAGTTAATGTTTTGAACTGCCACCACAATAAAGGATGGACAAACCAGTTACTCCAGCACCTTACTGCTAATACAGTTACGAATATACACGGCAAATCAAAATATATCACAACAATTCAAAAGAAATCACAGCAAACTAAAACATGCAAAAAAAAAAAAAGAACAAATAAACATGCAAGACAATAAGCATGGAGCTGGATGACACCCAATACCGATAGCAAGTAGCAAAACTTTTTTTTTTTTTTTTCCTACAGCACTACTGGTCTTCCATAGCCACAATAATCATGATTTAAATGGAACCTGGGCCTCTGCTTTGATATATCCTGCCAACAACGCCAAGAATGTGGCAACCGAGGGGTTCAACACTCCGGGAAATGTTAAGTTTTATGATGTGTTGCTGCAACAACGCCACCCCAAATCTAGTTTGGGGAAATGAAATCTAAACGTAAGGCACACAGGTAAGCATATCATTAAGGGAGAGAGCCAGGTTCCATCATTTACACAAATCTTTATTCCTTTCTATTTTAAAAGACAAATTTAAGTGGTTTAAAAGTAGCTACGTCCATAAAAATCAGCAAACAGTAAAACACTACGGTGGGAGAACGAGTACACAAAATTGAAAATGCAAAACGAAACCCAAAACCCAAAGCAAAACTGAAGCAAAACAAAACAGCAAAACAGAACGTAAAACAAGATAAAACTAAACAAAGCAAATGTGAAGCAGAGGCACAGCAAACAGGACAACAACAAAAGCAAACACAGAACACAAACAAACAAAACACAGCAAACAAAACAAAAACAAACACAGCAAACAAACAGAACAAACAAAAACAGCAGAGGTGGTGTCCTCACGCCGCTGCAGGCCCCCGCTGACACCTAGAAAATTAAATTTTGGAATTAAAATCGGAGCCTGCAGTGCAAGGATCTGGGCTAAACATACCGTGGTTGAAGGTGACAGTGCGTAATCCCCAGGCTGAATCGAAGGCGACTACACAGAATAACACCGTCCAGACGTGGACCGGCACACACTACAAACATACAATTTAGAGTGGTTTGGCACAGGTGGCACGTGATGATGGGTTTGGTTACCTGCCGCCGCGGTTTAAGAGACACGGCGGCGCACCGCCAAGCGCAATGGGGAGGGACTCGCTCACCCGTGGAGCTACAGAGAGACACCGGTAAAAGTATGGGCACGGATGAATGAGTGGAGGAGTACCGGGCGTGCATTACCTTATCAGGGGAGACGAAAGCGCGCCCGAGGTGCTCCGTGACTCGGAGACGCGAGGGACAGATGTGGTGAGAGCAGCGGCCAAGCAGCGACACTAAAAGGAAACGTGATAGGAAATTTGATGTAACGGGCATGGAATTTACAAAGTGAAAGTTACCTGAGCTGGAGGACAGAGCGGCCACAAGGAGAGGCCCGGAAGAGCGTGTGAGCCAAAAGGGGGAACGACTGAGAAGGGAGCGCTTAAATAGTCCACCAGCGCAGCGCCACGGACGCCAGGTAAGAGCACCCGCA